ACTCCAGTCTGGGCGACAGAGTGAGACTCCAACTCAAAAAAAAAAAAAAAGAAATATTTGCATTTTTATTAAGTACCCAAAATGCTGCTAAATAAACCATACTTCACTCTTGAATACGAAACATAATCCAAAGTCTCCACACAATCTGATTCTGTGAACTTGGATAAGTAATGATTTCTCTTGAACTAAGTTTTGGCATTTAAAAGTGAAGATTTGTCCAGGCACGGTGGTACACGCCTGTAATCCCAGCATTCTGGGGGCCAAGGTGGGAGGATTGCCTGAACTCAAGAGTTCAAGACAAGCCTGAGCAACATAGCAAGACCTCATCTCTACAAATTTTTTTTTAAGTGACAGATTTGGTGGTACCTGCTGAGTCCCAGCTACTCAGCAGGCTGAAGCAGAAGGATCATTTGAGCTCAGAAGGTGGAGGCTGCAGTGGTGAGCTGTGATCCAGCCACTGCACTCCAGCCTTGGTAACAGAGACTCTGACTCAAAAAAAAAGTGATGATTTGGACAAAATGATCTACATATGTTCTTTGCCTTCCAGTTCTAGAACTCTCACCCCCTTTAAAGATATGCTTTCATTCCAGCTTAGTATACTGGTACACTCATGAATATCATTCATGGCATTAACTTCTGAACAATTCCATTCTTTGCTTTCATATCCTTACATCCTCACTGTCAATCTTCATTGGCATCTGATGTATCCCTGCGCTATGCATAGCTTTCTGATTCTCATGCACAACTGGCCACCCTCTGATTCCTGACTCCTGCTTTGTTCTCTTGGCTATGAATCTCTGTTCTGCCTCCATTTTAGCCTGGCTTCTCCAGTCTCAGAAGTTCCCTTCTTACAAACTATCTTCATAACACTTCCCACTAGGAATGCCCCTGCCTTAGGGGCAGGTTCAGATCTTATTTTCCCCTTATTTTGTTATTCACGGCCTCACATTCATCATCCAACCTAACCTGCATATCATGTATATTGACTCCCTTACTCCCATTTGAATTCCTTATTTAATTGCCTTATCCCCTCCTGTCTGGCTATTCAAATCCAGCACAGCCTAACTCAAAATAGGAAGCATGCCCTAACTTCAACCCCAAATAAGGCTAATTTCTACGTCCTCTGAATTTCTGTAACAAGACTGTTTTACAAGTAGTATTTGCCAGTAAACATTCCTTGCCTAATATTTTGTCAACTGGCAACTAGAATAATTAGCAAAACAAAGGGACTACCTCTAGAATTAGTTATCATTTTTATATGTGAAAAATTATCTCTTTCCATAAAAATGCAAACAAATTGAAAATAGCAATGCCTTTGTTTTTCACTTTGCAAGTCCTTTGCACAACACCTTGCATATACTAGATCATCAATAAATACTTATATTATCTGCAAAAATTTATTCTCTTCTGCTTGGTATGTGGCAGAGAGGGGCTAAAAGCAGTTAAAATTATTCCTTTTAAAAATCAACCTGCAAGCTCCAGACCTGCTAGATATGGGATGTGAGAAAACCAAATAGCCAAAGGTCGCTTTCCTGGAAATGCAAGATAGTAAGTAATCCATTCACAACCTTACCCCCACATCCTCTATTTGTGAAGTTAATGGTTTACAACCCCTGCTTGTCATGTATACCCTGGAGACAATTTGTTCTTTGAAACTCTGGTTTTGCTAAATACCACCTTGCAAATTCCAAAGAAAAATGTATAGCCATACAACCCAACACCTCTCCCTTACTTAAACTAAAGTATAAAACCCCTCTTCTCTTGGTGTCACGGTCTCTCTGCCTTACTGCAACAGGTGTTCTGGGGGAAAGCTGACAAGGCTTGCGGTCTCCAGGAAAGAGTCCGAATATTCCCTCTCTGTCATTGTTAGTGCTATCATTCATTAGCATCTTAGATGCAGACTTCAAAGATATTCTAAAGTCCCCTTTGCCTTCTCACCCATCATTAAAGTTATGTGAAAGAAAATAAAATCTGGGACCCCAAACTCACTACGCCAAAGAGAAGGTTAGCTTGGGAACTGAGTTACACACACAAAAAAACAACTTTCCTTTAGGTCCAAACAGACAGCTGCAATGATAGAAGGCCACATATTTCCCCAGATAGCCTCCCTCATAAATTGCACACAAAGAAAATCTTTGTGGACCACCAAATCTTTCACAATACATTTTCAGTCTATAGACTAGCCCTAAAGCAGAGTTCTATGGGCTCTTACCCCGATAATATAAATTAACGGTTTACTTTCACAGGTATGGGAGAAGGACAAGACTAGAAATCATCCCTCCACCCACCCTGAAGCAAATACATAATTGACCCCTCCCTCCCTCCACCTTTTCCCATTTACTTTTTCTTAAGTGAAATGTAGACTTACCGAGCACAGGATGAACACATAATGGACTGTTCCTCTATCCCTTTTACCCCCTCTTTTTGTGTGAAAAAGTTAAATTCACCGAGCACTAAGCCTTCACAAGAATGCAGCCACTTGCCTTGCTGTCTACCTTCCACCCCTTTCCTTATGTTTCCTCCTTCCCTTCCTGCTCATTTTTTCCCCTTTAAGTACTGAAGTCCTCAAAATCCACCTGGAAAAAGCACAGCTCTCACGACTCAACTCTGCCTTGTTTTCTTTATGTGACCAGATTCCTAACTAACAGAGCTAGAGAGACAGGTTTTTTTAATGAACTACTTAATGTGATTTACTTTCCAACCCAGCTCTGGCATAACATAAAGTAACAGATAAAGAAGGAAAAGGAAAGTATGTTGTGATCCTGTAAAGCTGTCTTTTGGGGATTCTGGGCACCTTTTAAGACACTTACCTATTCTCTCTGAAGTCTGTCACCTATAAAGTTTTATCTACATATCAAAAACTTGGAGTTTTTCCCACTCCCACATCTCAACCGGACATCTCCTCTGCTGATTTCCAAATTCCTTGGATAGGAGCTACAAACTGCCAGTCAGAAAATCTTCGAATCCGCCTATAACCTGCATGTCCCACCCACCACCACCACCAAGCTTGAAAATGTCCTGCCTTCTGGGGCCAAGCCAATGTAAATCTCACACGTATTGATTTATTATTTGTTGTACATTCATTTTTATTCTCTTAAAATGTATATGACCAAGCTACAGTTCACCACAGCAGGCACACGTTCTCAGGACCTTCTGAGGACAGGGACCACTGGTCTAAAGTCACTTACATTTGGCTCAGAATAAAACATCTTAAATATTTTACAGAGTGGCATTTTTCATCAACAAATCACAGATGCTGCTGTGATTTCTGTTTCTTTTTTCCTGGGCATATCCTAAACTTTGGCAAAAGAAATCTCAAAATTGATTGAGATAGGCCGCATTTTTTGTTTGTTTGTTTACAGTTAGTCATTCAGTGATGTTTCTCCCTTCACATCTCATGTTAAAATGTGATAGGGCCTAGTGGGAGGTAGAGCCTAGTGGGAGGTAGGGCCTAGTGGGAGGTTCTTGGATCATGGGGTGGATCCCTCATGAATGATTTGGTGCCAGTCTTGCAGTAATAAGTGAGTTCTCACTCCATAGCTCATGTGAGAGTTGGTTGGTTATTTAAAAGACCCTGACACCTCCTTCTTTCCCTTGTTCCCACTCTCATCATGTAACATACCTGCTCCCACTTCACATTCTGCCATGAGTAAAAGCTTTCTGAGGCCTCACCCGAAGTTGAACAGATGCCAGTGACATGCAGAACCATGAGCCACAGAAATACCTTTTCTTTTTAAATTACCCAGCCTCAGTATTTCTTTATAGCACTGCAAAACAGACTAACACACTCAACCTTCTACATGAAAACCATATAAAAAATATTAACCTAAAAACGTATCCTATTTAAGTTTAATTTAATCCTTTTGAAACATTAATGTTCTCAATACGACTACAGAAAATATACTTCATCGATGCTGACTAATTCCTCCTTCCTCAATTCTTTTATTTATTCACTCACTCAAAAAATATTATTGGGCACCTATTTTGTATCACTCACTATACATAATTGACACTAAACATGAGATGCTGGTTTACAAGTATTGACCTTACTACATGAATATAGTCAACACAGTTTATTTTTTAGTTCATTATTACATATATATTTGTCCAAGCCCCTTTATATTCCCCTTTCTAAGTCTAGATAATTCTATCAATTTTATTTTTTAGTATCTCCCTCATACATTGGGTAAGTAAATAAAAACTGCTAGGATCTTGTTCAACTGTCGATTAAACACTTAAAATTTATAGCTCTGTGTACTTAACTTCCTAAAAAGAGCTATAGTATATAAATTAAATTAAATTATTACACCAAGAGGCTTGCTCTTTCCAGAATTTGAAGTAGGAAAATTCATAAATTTAAATAAAACCTCTGAGTTGCAACTTATGATGATTTATTGACATGCTACACTGAGGAAAGAATAACTAATAACTATTAATTATGCATTAGAAATAACTGATTACAAGTAATATTGCACATTTAGAAACACAATTGAGCCAGGCATAGTGGCTCATGCCTATAATCCAAATACTTTGGGAGGCCGAGGTGAGAGGATTGCCTGACTCCATGGGTTCGAGACTAGCCTGGTCAACTTGGCAAGACCTCATTTCTACCATAAATAAAAAAATTAGCCAGGCATGGTGGCAACAGAGTAAGACTCCAACTCAAAAAATAAATAAATAAATAAATAAATAAATAAATAAATAAATCGTGTAGATCTCATGTTAAATATGCTTAAAACACACACATACACAATTGAAAATAAAGGGTCTCAAAGACCTAAATGTAAGGAAGAAATTATTTATAAGGAATGTTCTTAACTATTACTGAAATTTACTGCAAGGTAATCATGTTCTTTGCCGATATTTTGTCATCCATAGGGTTGGTGTACTTATGAACTTAGAAATCTGTATTCCTTTTATTCAAAGTGCTATTTGTTCTTCTTAGTTTCTATATCCCAATATTAGTTTATAGTAGTATGCTTCTACTCACTTTTACAAGGCATATGGCAGATGGATTGTCTTCACGTCCATTATAATTTTTTAGATTAAGTGCATTTTCACAAAGTCCTCTTACATAAAGCAAACAGACTTGAAATAATTTATCAGCTAAAAAAAGATGGCGATACAAAAATGACCTGAAAGTTAAAAAAAATTCACAGATTTATCTCTTAATCAAAATGAATAAAATTAATTTAGAGGTAATTAGTATAGCTTAGTTCATATCCCTATAGTCAAAATGTGTTACATCTATCACATTTTAAATAATAAAAATTAGTAAGCATTAGGGGTTATGCTTGGCCAACAAATTTGTAGGAAAAGTTTTGGGTACTAAGTGTGTGGAGTAAGAACTAAATAGGAGGGGGAAGCAAGTGATTATATGATTTCCTTATGGCATGAGTTCTAATAATTTTGAAATATTATGCAGTTTTATCCAAAAGGCATATGTCCTCAATTTTTAAAACTGCATTAAATCTAAATAAATTTCTTCAATATATTTTTCTCCCAATTACAGGAAAATAATTAACTGGATTAGGGACCATTTGGATAATGTTTCTTAAATTTTCTAACCATCTATATCCTAAAATAGAGAATAAAATGGACACTTTTCTCTACTTCTTTATACTCCATGATCACAAAGGTGAGACAAATCATTGTTAACAATAATGGAAATAATAGAAAGATAGAACTGGAGGAGAAAAGTATAGAGTGGAAGAGATAAAATTCCTTAAAAATTGGATCGAGTAAAGCAAACTTCCCTGTGCAAGAGTGTGTGGGGATCACTGTGAAGTAATTGATTTATAAAGGTTATCAGGCTCATAATATACACAAAATATAATAATCAGAAGTTAGCTCTTCCATCTTTTTTCTGTTTTACATTTGAAAGCTTAATATACCACAAAGCCAGTGAAGCTTAAGCTTCATAGATCCTTAACATTTACACTGCCTATTTCAAAGCCTGTATCATTTATCTTAAGGAAAGCCTCCTCAAATTATATTAGCATCATACAACTACTAATATAAAACTGTTCCTAGATGTAGAATAATTTGTTGACATTCCTCTAAGTATCTGGTACAGGGAGAAAGATAGATTATGCTAAAGACAAGTGGCACATATTGGAAAGTGAAACACCACAAAAAGCAAACAATATGTATTAGCAAGAGGGTGACTATCAAAATTCAGGTAATAATAGACTCAGCATTATTCAAAGCTTTGGATCATTATTCAGCATTGTTTAAAGCTTTCATTTTCCTTTTAAAATGTATTCAATTTTGGTCTACATACTTTAAAAAAATATGAAGAAAATGGGGAAGATGCATATAAAAGTAATTATAGGCATGGAAAACATGAAAAATTTAGAGTTGTAATGTATGATCTCACAAGAGAAAAATAATGCATTAACTGATGACTGTATTCATCAGGATTATGGGAAACTCATCACAAATTTCTTTTTTAATCACAAGATAAAATTAAATACATTCTTCAAAACTTTTCTCATATACAAGCTGGAACTGCTTGATATTAGATAATATATCACAAAAGACTATTAAAACTCAGGTACTGGATTCCAGGAAAAATGAAATAGAAATACTTTTCACTATACTTCCTAAGTAAAGTAAACATAAGAAGACATTGAAAGGTGGAGAAGATAAGCTAAGCTGACTAGGAGTGACATGGTGGTTAGTTCCCTGGGTTTTCTTTTTGCCTTGTATATCCCCAACTTGGAGCTGAAAAAACCAGTTACTTGGAAACATCAATGGTTGCACAAACAAAAACAAAAAAAGTCCATTTCCTAGCCAAAGGAGAACCCTACCAAGACAGAAACTTTTAGACTATAACCATTCTACTCCAGTCAAATACTATTAGAGGAAAAAGGCTGAGTGGAGACCCTAGATTACTACTCCTGGAAAAACCACAATGGGACATCCTTAACGTCTCCATTGAGGATTTTCAAGAAGGGTCAAGTAGGGAGCTTGGATATTCATTCCTACTGGGTGGTAATATGTAAAGAAGCAGAAAGTCAAGCAAATAAATAGAAGACATAAAGAAGAACCCAGTGAGAATTTTAGTACCAAATGAAAACCGAAAATTTTAGAACCAAATGGAAATTGAATAATGCGACATCAATTTTTTAAAACATGAATGGCTCAATGGCAGAATGGAGTATACAGAGGGAAAAAACTGTGAACTGAAAGATAGAAAAACAGAAATTATTAAATCAGAATAACAGAGAAAAAAATAGACTAAAGAAAATGAACAGACTCTCATGGGCCTGCGAGATTATAGAAAAAGATCTGGCATTTGTGTCTGGAGTCCTAATGCTGCCAAGTGGGGTATGGTGCGAAACTCATGAATTCTTTGACTTGCTTTTAAAATGAATTTTAGAGTGGCCAGCAAAGTTTTTTTTTTTTTTTTAAGTTTATTAGAGAAAGAAGAGAGAAAAGATACAGAGACAATGTAGAGCTGCATGGGCAAAAAAATCACACTTTTACTCTTTTCAATAGACTTGATATATCTTTGCAGTGATTGATATGCTAAAGAGGGTGGAACCCAGGTAACCATCACTCTGGAGACTGACATCTCTGGGTTCCTGATGTCAGGAGAAAAGGGAAGGGATGGTCTTTTCTTGACTACATTGTCTTCTGTAGGAGACATGGCCAGGCAGTTTCCTTAGCTAAAAGGTGATCTTATTATCATTTCTATGACTTTGGTCAGGTAAGGGGTGGTATTTGGTCTTTCTCCTTCGACTGGGAACTGAAAGTTTCTTAGTGATTACTAAGTGCTAAGCCAAGAATTGAAAGGTTGGGCTGTCCTATTCTTGCATCTGATGGAGTTTTCTTTTGATTTGCTGAGGGTGTGGGATAGGCTGCAGTCTGACCTACAGAAAAATGTAATTTTTAAAATGTCTGAATGCTTCCTAAAACCTGCCTTTAGGAAATTTATTTATTTATATCTAACCTGTGCTAGCTACCCAGCCTTACTAGGAGAGTAGAAAGAAGGCAAGTCTAAAAAAATACTTGAAAAAATAATGGCTGAAAGTTGGCAAAAGACACAAAAACCTAAAGATTTAAGAAGCTAAGGAAACTCAAAACAGGATAAAGACAAGACATCCACACCAAGATACATTGAAGTCAAACTTCCGAAAATGAAAAGCAAATTTTAAAAAAAACTTTGAAATCAGCAAGAGGAAGAACACGTTATCTATAGGAGAAAAATAAATGACCATGGGGTCAGAAAAAAGCGACACAATATTTTCCAAGTGCTGAAAGAAAATAACTGTCAACTAAGAATCATATATCCAGCAAAAATATTCATCAGTGAAGGGGAAATCAAGACATTCTCAGATAAAAGAAAAGTAGACTTTGTTGCCCATAGACTTACTGTAAAATAATGCCTAGAAAAGTTATTTAAACAGAAATTAAACAATCAAATGAAAAATGAATCTTGGAATTTTGAAAAGAAAGAACATGATACAAATATGAGTAAATATAATAGACTATATTTCTCACGAATATTATAAATTGTATTTGATGATAGAAGCAAAAATTATAATACTGATATGATTCCAAATGTATGTAAAAATATTTTAAGACAAACAATACAAACAAGGAAAGGCAAAGAAACATAAAAGTAAGGTTTCTACAATTAATCAAACTGATATAATGATGAAACCAGTAAACTGCAACAAGTTATGTATATATGTTATACCTGTAGCAACCACTAAAAAAAGCTACACAAAGAGATATATTGAAACAAAATACTGTAGATAAATCAAAATGAAATTCTTAAAAATGTTTAGGTAGCCCACAGGAAGGCAGGAAAAATAAAACACAGAAATAAAAGAACAGACTCCAAAAAAAAAAGAGATTGGTAAAACGAGTTTTAAAACATGGCATAACTATACATTGTCTATAAGAAAGTCAATTCAAATATAACAAGGTAGGCATTAAAAGTAAAAGAATATCAAAAGTTAAAAAAATAATATCAAAAGTAAAAAGATGGAAAAGGCATATCACGTAAACATTAATCAAAAGAAAACATAGTGACCACATTAATACCAAATAAACTTCCAAATAGAGAAAATTATCAGAAACAGTGAAAGACCTTAAATAATTATAAGAGGATCGATCCACCAAGAAGACAGAGTAATCCTAAATGTATATGCACCAAAAAATAGGGCTACAAAAATGTGAACCAAAAATTTAGCTGAAAGAACAAAAGAGAAGAATTCACAACTATAGTTGGAGACTTCAGCACTCTCACAACAACTAATAGAACAATTAGACTGAAGATCAGCAAAGACACAGAAAATTATCTTCAAACTGGGACGCTGGTTTTTTTTTTCTTCCTGCTGTTGAACTTGGACTTAGACCAGAACTTACATCATTGTCCTCGTTTTCAGGCCTTTGGACTCAGACCAGATCTATACTATACCATTAGCTCTCTTGAGTCTCCAGCTTGCCAACTGCAGATCCTGGGACTTCTCAGCCTTCATAACCAAGTGCACAAATTCCTTATAATAAATTAATACAATAGTACAAGACTTGTAAGCTAAAAACTATACAATGCTGATGAAAGGATCAAAAGGATCCAAAAACAGAGAGATGTATCATGTTTATGGATGGAAAGATTCTTCACAGTTAAGATGCCAATTCTTCCAGAAACTGATATTGAAATTTAATGTAATTCCTATCGAAAATTAGGCAAGATTGTTTGTAAATATAAACAAGATTATTCTAAAATGTATACAGAAAAGCAAAGAAACTAGAATAAATTGTAAAATAAGAATGAGGTAAAGAAAATCAGTCTACCTTATTTCAAAACTTATTATATAGCTACAATAATCAACCAATGTGGTTTGGCATATGACCCAGCAATTGCACTCTTGGGCACTTACCCTAGAGAAATGAAAAGTTTCAGGCTCACAAAAACAAAAAACAAACATGAAACTGTACACAAACATTTATAGCAATTTTATCTATAATAGCCAAAAACTGGAAATATACTTCAACAGGAAAATGGTTAAACAAAACATAGTACATCCATATCTTGGAATGCTACTGAGCAATAAAAAAAAAATTATTGTTATATGCAGCAATCTGGATGAATTTCCAGAGAACTATTCCAACTGAAAAGAACCAATCCCAGCTGGGCTCGGTGGCTCAGCCTGTAATCCCGCGCCTTTGGGAGGCTGAGGTGAGTGGATTGCCTGAGCCCGCGGGTTCGAGACCCGCCTGGGCAGCGAGACCTCATCTCTACAATAAATCAAAAAATCAGCCGGGCGTGGTAGCGCGCGCCTGTAATTCTGGCTACTCGGAAGGCTGAGGCGGAAGGATCGCCGGAGCCCAGCAGGTCGAGGCTGCGGTGGCCGGGCGTGGCCACTGCACTCCAGTCTGGGCGACAGAGTGAGACTCCACCTCAAAAAAAAAAAAAAAAGAAAAGAACCAATCCCAAAGGTTATATACAAGGGGGGCCCCCAAAAAAGAAATTATTTTTTGGAAGGTGGCCTCCGTGTAGCACGGGCTTCCCCCACTAGGTTAGTGTTCTAGAAACTCACTGTCATCAGCGTACCAGCTAATGTTGTTTGTGAGAGGTTGCATTCAGTTTCAGGGATTTTTTTTTTTTTTTTTTTTTGAGATTCTTTCAACTTGTTTGCCATTTCATGATGGATGATTTACAAGTGCACTTGTTCAGCAGTTTTTGACCAAAAATAGCATGCCCCTCATGCTCCACCCTCCCTTTTCACCCAGTTGCTCCCCAGTTGACTTTTTTTGTTTCTCTGGATAAAAAAGTCCTCAAAGAAAAACATTTTGCCCACGTAGAAGAGGTGAAACAAAAAATGGCAGAAGCAACAAAAGGCATCAAAATTGACAAGTGCAAAAACTGTCTTGAGCAGTGGAAAGTGTCCTCTATAGGTGTATTGCATCAAACAGGGAGTACTTTGAAGGGGAATGAAGTTAAAACATGCAAGAATATGCAATTTTTAATAAGTGAATTCCAGGGTCTCTTGGGTCCCCCTTGTACTATATGGTTTCATTTACATTATGCTCTTTTTATTGTTTACAAAATTTTTAAAATTGACATAATAATTGTACATATTTATGGTGTGATATTTTGATACATATATACAATATGTAATGATCAAATCAGGGTAGTTAGCATATCTATCACCTCAAACCTTTATCATTTATTTGTGTGGCTGACATTTACAATCCTCTTGTCTAGCTATTTGAAAGATACAATGAGTTATTTAATATAGTCACCTTTCAATGCTGTAGAACACTAGAACTTATTCCTCCTATCTAGCTGCAACTTTGTAACTGTTAGTCATCCTCTCCTTATCCTCCCCTTCCCCCTGCCCTTCTCAAGTTTTAATAACCACAATTTTACTCTCTACTTTCATAAAATCAATTATTTTAGCTCCCACATATGAGTGAGAACATGAGGTATTTATTTTAAGTCTGTCTGACTTATTTCACTTAACATAATGTCCTCCAAGCTCATCCATGTTGTCATAAATGACGGGATTTAATTCTTTATTATGCCTGAATAATATTCTATTGTGTGTATATATATGCACACTACCTTTATCCATTCATCTGTTGATGGACTTTAGGTTGATATTATATCTTGACCACTGTGAATAGAGCTGCAATAAACATGAGGATGCAGGTATCTCTTCAATATACTGATTTCCATTCCTTTAGATAAATACTCAGTGATGAGATTGCTGGATCATATGATAGTTCTATTTTAGTTTTTTGAGAAACCTCCATACTGTTCTCAATATGGCTGTACTGATTTACATTCCCACCAAAAGTGCATAATAGCTCCCTTTTTTCCACATACTTACCAGCATTTGTCATTTTTTATCTTTTTGAAGACAGTCATTCTATCTGGGGTGAGATAATACCTCATTGTAGCTTTAATTTGCATTTCCCTGATGATTGAGGATGTTAAGCATTTTTTAATATACCTGTTGGTCATTTGTATGTCTTCTTTTGAGAAATGTTTATTCAGATCTCTTACCCATTTTGAAATCACATTATTTGTTGCTGCTGCTGTTGTTAATGAGTTGTTTGAGTTCCTTGTATATTATGCATATTGATCCCTCATAGGTTATATTGTTTGCAAATATTTTCTCCCATTTTTCATGATCTTTCTTTGCTCTGTTAAATATTTCCTTTGCTATGCACATAGAGCATTATTTTTTGAAAATTTCTTATTGAAATATGACTGACATTTAAAAAAAGCTGTACACATTTAATGTATACAACTTGATACATTAATTGAAGATAAGTATACATCTATGAATCATCACTGTAATCTATGCTATAAATATATTTGTCACCTCCCAAAAGAGTCCTCCCATTCTCTTGATATATTATTATTTGTGATAATAACATTCTGAATAAGACAAAATTTTAGAAATAGAGAACAGATAAGTGTTTTCCACATATTGAGTTGGATGGGTATAGCTATAAAAGGCCAACATAAGGGATCCTGTGGTGATAAGAATGTTTTGTACCTTGATTATACATCACTGTCAATGTTCCAGTTGTCATACTGACAGTAGTTTTGCAACAGGTTACCACATTAGGGGAAACTTAGTAAAAGGCACATGGAATTTCTCAAAAATGATTCTTACAACTGCATCTCAATCCACAATGATCTCAAAATAAAAAGTTTAATAAAAACAACCATGAAAAAATACTTGGCTGCTGACTATCTTACAGAATAATATTAACTGTCATCTATTTTGAATAACTTACTAATTCTAAGGGAATGTATCAAGGATTTTCGCAGCACTATGACCACAGAATTGTTTACTAGGAAATATAGTAAGTGTTTCATAGTCTTAAAAAAAAAAATAGGGATGGGTTAAATTTAATCATAAAAACAATGAAATGTGACTTTCCAATCATTGAGTGAAAATTACATTATATCTGCTTCCATACTACATTTTTAAAATACAGATTTCTTTTGAAATTTTAAAAATATATTGCATATCAAGTCTTACCTGCTCTTCTCTGTCTTAATTCTTTTGACAGTCAATTTCCAGGTAATAAATGCTTTGTTAATTCTGAAAGCAAAACACCTCTTAGATTCTATATTCATAATGTACTTATGTGGAATAATTTAGTAAAAGACTAGTAATGTTAGAACACTATCTAGCACATGATTCATTCATCCTGAGGCAACTCAGGTAAAAACTAAACCATATAATTTTTCTCCCAAACTAACAACAGAATATAGAGCAAAAGATAAATGTAAGCTAAAGTTCTTATAATTTTTATAGATGCAGGATTTCATTTAGCTGCAACATTCCAATAAATATTAAAACTATAAAAATATATTGTTTTATTTTATATGCTTATTGGATTATTTTGAAAAGAAACTCATATTTCAAGTAGTGTCAAGATTCAATTTTCAGTAATAACGAAAAGGTATATTGATTTTTAAAAACTTTGTATAGTGGTAAATAAAAGCTTACGATGATGTATGTCATTTTGATATTAGTTAATTCTCATTTTTAAAAGCATGCATTTACAATTTTAAAAACTCAAAAACCCTACATGACATAATCTATGCCTTAAGCATATCTGTCACCTCCAAAAGTGATTGAAATTCAAAAGAACTGAAAAGCTTCCCTGGTTATTATTCATCATCTGTAATTTTCATACATGAAATAGGCATGCCAATTGTTTCTGCAAATCTTTCTCAATTGCTCTAAATGAATATTGCCTGTGGAGGACTAGTTCAGTGTCATCTAAAAATAGCTCCCTCAGTAGCCTTTACATCTTAAGAAAAACAACGACCTTTAAATAAACACAAAGACAGGACACTTTGTCAAAGTGAGATTCCTTATGTAGCTGGTAAGAACCAATAGGGAAGGGAAAATGGTGAGGACAGGGATGTGTCCAACCGAACAACCAATCTGAGTGATGACACTGGCTGACTTTGACTCAAAGGAGACTGCACGAGGCCTGGAGCAATCCAAACAGTTCGAAGGGAATCTCATGAGGTCCTTCAAACAGGCACTGGAGGCCTTGGAAATCAGAAATGCCTCAAACAAATCTAGTAATTTGACCTGAAATCAGACTCCCATGAAGCACTCCAAATAAATTCCTATTTTACTTTAATCAGATCCCTGAAAACCCTCATGAATCAGAGGGGAACCCAGTGTTGGTGTACTGAGTATCTATACCAGGCCACAGATACTAATACACCAAGAAAGTTTCATGAGATAAAAGGACAATGCTGATGGTCCAGTCATCCCTCCACTGGCATTGCCAGCTTAAGCTGTTATCACTTCATCTTTATCTTATTTTTCTATTTGAAATGTTACTTTTTACAATATTTATGACTTTTTAAAAACTACAAAAGAGGTCTTGGAATTGAAGATGGTGATGGAACAGGTCAGGGTGTGAGAGTCTCCACAAAAATGAGTGTCCATAAAGACTCTCTGCATGAGTGGATGTGTGCTGGTGGGTGAGTGAAAGTCCATCTGAAGGGAGACTCAGGTTCAAGCACCCGGGGCTTTCCTCTGGAGCAGACTGTATCCCACCACCATCCTGAGATTGAAGCCCCTGGTGCACTGGATCATCTGCTGTTCTTGGGGCTCCCTTGAGAGGAGGCAGCAGAGAACAGCTCTTCTTACCACCTGGCACCCAGCCCATGCCATCACCTATGGCAGCAGACTGGGCCAAGCCCAGGACTATGGAGAAGGCAGGGTGTGAAAACCTGGAAAGAAATCCCACTGCCAGTGAGGAGATGCTGACCAGTGCCACCTACTCTGTTCTGGGACCAGGCACAGACCTGTATAGCCCTGCCCAGCTCTACCCAGCCTCCAACCTGGGACCCAGAAGCTATCCTCTCATTGGACTCAGAAAGACAGATGCCTCTCTCTCATGCTGGAACAGGCACAGACATGTCAGATCAGAGTGGGAGACTTGACAGAAGCAGCAGCAGTGGACCAGTTGGGTGAGTCTGAATCTGATCCATCCTCCTCCCACAGTAGTCTATGAGGTATATAACCCACACTGAGAGCAACCCTATCAGCCTGTGTTGAGAGCAGAGAGGACAGGTTGGAGACCAGAATCACTCCTTAATGCAGCAGTGGCAGCTGAAAGGGACCTGGAGTTACAGAAACTGTCATAGAGCAATTTTCTTTTTGTTTGTTTTAGTTTTACTTTTTTTCTTCTCTCTTTATGTTTTGTTTACATTTTTGTACTTTGTTTCTGTTATTTTAATGTTGTCTATTTTTAGATTTTCTATTTGTGTATGATATTTTTGGAAGTGAGTACATCAACAGGGTTTATTTTTTATCTTTCGTTTCTTTGTTTGTATCATTGTATTTTTTTGCTTGTTTTTTCTTTGTTTCTCTGCTTATTCATTAGTTGGTACACCTATCAATTTTCTCCTCCTCTCTCTCCACCTTCCTTTCATATTTCTGCTTCTTTTTCCATTCTTTTCCTTTTTCTTATCTCATTTTGCTTTCAGATGGCAGAAATACACTTCCACTGCATGAACACATTGTAAGGCAGTAGGAAGTGGGCTCCAGGGGTCCCACACACCTGTCAGCAGATACTGGGATGTGCAGATAGCTTATAAATCACAGTTCCCCCCTTAATTAAATCTCAGAACGGCAAAAAGCACAGCCTCCCACTCCCAGTCCAGCTTCAAAATTGAACAAAGCCAGAGGATCTACATAAGGAAGAATAGAAGACTGAGCAAACAGAAGTAAAAGCTAGCCCCATCACTGAAAAACAGAATTAAAGAAGAGGTTTAAAGAAAGGCGGAAGAGGAGAGGGGGGAGGAAAACCTATACAATGACAAAAAGCCAAAGGAAAGATATGGGTCTCATACAGACTCCTGGGAGGACAACTGAGAATACAGACTTCAGAAATCAAACATTGAAAAGTTCCTGGATAACTAGTCTCAAACCACAAACCCAGATATCAAGATATTAATAGAGAGAATAAATAGAAATGAGAAAAGATAAGAGGAAAGAATGAAGGGGTTGGTAGCTGACATAACAGCAATAAATAATACAGTGAATGAAATAAATAATAAACTGATAAGAATGGAAAGCAGAATTGACCAAGCAGAATAAAGAATCTCAGAGCTTGAGGACCAAAACATGGAACTAACCCAACCTGTTAATAACTTAGAAAAGAAGCTTAAAAAGACAGAAAAAAGTCTCCAAGAGATGAGAGATTATATCAAGAGGCTGAACCTAAGCTTAATTGAAATCCCTCAGGCAGATAGAGAGACAGAGACCACCCTGGAAAAAACAGTCCATGAAATAAGCCAAGAAAACTTCCCTCATCTTATCAGAGACATGGCCATTCTAACCCAAGAGATTCAGAGAACTCCTGCACGACAACAAAGGAGATCAACTCCCAGACACATAGTAATTCACCTTCACAAAGTAGGTATATGAGAAAAAATCCTAAAGGCAGCAAGAGAGAAAGATCAGACTACCTACTGGAGAAGACCAACCAGAATAGCAGCAGACTTATCTACAGAAACACTTCAGGCTGGGAGAGATTTGAGTCTAATCTTCAAAGTTCACAAAGGTAAACAATTTCAATCAAGAATTACCTACCAAGCTAAGCTATGTTTAATCAGCAATGGAGAATTAAAATCCTTCCCAGACATTCAGTCCCTAAGAGTTTATGCCACCTCCAAATCAGCTCTACAAGAAACTCTCAAGAGAGTATTAAACACAGAAGAAAGAAAAAAAAAAAAGCCCTTTACAAGAATGCAGGAAAAAGAATGAAAACACACATAAATCAACTCAAAAATCAAAAGAAAGACAACAAACAGCAGCAGCAACAACAAACTCTATAAGAACCTCATGATAAAATAAACTCTCACATCTCAATAATTGGCCTGAATATGGATGGACTAAATGCACCACTGACAAGACATAGAATGGAAAATTGGATTAAATGTCATGAGGCAACAGTATGTTGTCTCCAAGGGACTCATCTCACCAGAAAGGACACTCACAGACTCAAGTAAGAGGATGAAAACAAACTTTCAGATGAACAGAACACAAAGGAAAACAGGAGTCACAATCTTAAGATCAGACAAAATACCCTTTAAGCTATCAAAAATTTAAAAAGATGCAGATGGTCACTACATAATGATGAAAAGTACAATCCATCAACAAGAAATATCCATCCTAAACATATATGCACCCAACATAGGAGCACTAACTTTCATAAAGCAGCTTTTAGGTAAATTAAAAAAAGATATTGACTCCAGTATTGGAGACTTATACCCCACTAACAACCCTAGACAGATCATCAAGACAAAAAATCAACAAGGAGATCCAGAAACTCAACATGACGCTTGACCAAATGACTTAATTGATACCTACAGAACACTCCACCCAACAACCACAGAATATACATTCTGCTTATCACTACATGGAACATACTCTAAGACTGACCACATCCTCAGCCATAAATCAAGCATAAACAAATTCTGTAAGATCGAAATACTGCCATGCAGCTTTCTCAGACCACAGTGGAATAAAAACAAATATCACCACCAACAAAAATTCCCCCCAAAACCACAAAGATATGCACACTAAAAGCCTGATGCTGAACAACTCCTGGGCCAATATGGAAATCAAAACAGAAATTTTAAAAACTCCTGGAAACAAATGAAAATGAAGAAACATCTTACCAAAATCTCTGGGACACCATAAAAGCAGTACTAAGAGAGGAATTCATATCTCTATGAATATACATGAAGAAAATGGAAAGATCAAAAGTTAATAGCCTAACAAATCACCTAAGGAAGCTGGAAAAGTAAGACCACCAAAACTCTAACTTCAGCAGAAGAATCCAGATCACCAAAATAAAAGCCCAAATTTGGGACATAGAAGACAAAAATATAATACAAAAAAAACAATGAAACGAAAAGCTGGTTCTTTGAAAGGATAAACAAGATTGATGGATCCCTAGCAAGACTGACCAAGAAGAAGCCCAAATAAACACAATCAGAAATGGAAAAGATGAAGTCACAGCTGACCCCAAAGAAATATAAAAGATTATTAGAGATTAC